CAACCTACCAAAAGTCACATAGCTAGTAAGCGACAGGGCTAAGGACTAAACCTCAGGCTGATTCCCAGGTCCATACTCATAACCAGTATGCCACACTGCCTTTCTAAAATCTTAGTTGTTTTCATTTTTTATCCAAATGTATGTTTTTTGTTTTTTGTTTTTTTTTTTTTTGAGACGGAGTTTCGCTCTTGTTACCCAGGCTGGAGTGCAATGGCGCGATCTCGGCTCACCGCAACCTCCGCCTCCTGGGTTCAGGCAATTCTCCTGCCTCAGCCTCCTGAGTAGCTGGGACTACAGGCACGCGCCACCATGCCCAGCTAATGTTTTGTAGTTGTAGTAGAGACGGGGTTTCACCATGTTGACCAGGATGGTCTCGATCTCTTGACCTCGTGATCCACCCGCCTCGGCCTCCCAAAGTGCTGGGATTACAGGCTTGAGCCACCGCGCCCGGCCCAAATGTATGTTTTTTTAACCACAGGTAACCCATAACCTATAAACCTACAAACTTAGAGGTTAATTTGCCTCTAAGAATCAGTACTTGATTCGACATTTAAAGTATGTGAGGATAGTCTGCCTGGTCTGCCCTACATCTTCTCTTAGTAGCCCTAGACTTTCAAACATTCCTTATAAGACATTAATTTTTTTTCAGCTTTCTGATTATCCTAGTCTCACTCCACTGAATGATCTTATTCATCCATGTCTCTCTTTAAGTACAGCACTAAGAACTGAACATAATGTTTTCACTGTGAGCTGACTGGCAAAGAAAGGAGTAGGATTATCATTCCACTTCATTCTAAACAACAAACATCTATCAATAGGCCTTTTGTTTATAAGCTCATAAATTTCATGACTCATATTAAGCTCAAAATCAACTAAAATCCCGATAACCTAGTCATATGCACTGTAAGCCTTTCCTCACCCCTCCTACATTTGTTTAATCGTGAATTTAGTTAAAGTCAGTGACAACATTGAAAACTAAGTAAATCAGGAAGGTAAACAAGACAGCCTGGAGAATACAGCCAGGAGACCAATGAGGGAACAAGCTGTTTTCAAGCATTTTCATAACAGTCTTAGAGTACTAATTACTCTAAGTCTGTTCTCATCAGTAAAAGCATCTAGATTTTCTACAAGACTGATTATGTGTTATGTTAGGTAGAAAATCTGCTAGATCTGTTGCCTACATATAGAACACACAAACATACACAATCTGCTTATTTGTCTCTGATATTGGTATACATAGAAACCACTAGATTCCCTTTTAAGAAATTCTTAGGGCCAGGGCAGTGGCTCACGCCTATAATCCTAGCACTTTAGGAAGCCAAGGAGGAAGGATCACTTGAGGTCAGAAGTTTGAGACCAGCCTGGCCAACATGGTGAAACCCTGTCTCTATTAAGAATACAAAAAAATTAGCTGGGCATGGTGGTGGGCACCTGTAATCCCAGCTCCTCAGGAGGCTGAGGCAGGAGAACCGCTTGAACCCAGGAGGTAGAGATTGCAGTGAGCTGAGATCACATCACTGCACTCCAGCCTGGACAGCAGAGCAAGATTCTGTTTCCCAAAAAAAAAAAAAAAAAAAAAAAAAAAAAATGGTAGGTTTACTTTTTCTTCAACTGTGGTTGAGGAAACTGATTTGAATAAAAGAATTTCAACTTACTACTACAGAGGATTTTACTTTCAAAAGAATTCAGAGACTTAAACGAGAAAAGCAAGGAATATAAACACTGACCATGTACCCTAGGGAAGAGACCAAGATGCAACAAAGTAAACCAAAGCCTTAGAACTACATATAAGAAAGAACGACAAAGCAAAATCAGACTTCTGTGCTATATTCTGAAGTTAGCATAGCTAAGCCTAAAGGGGTTTGAAAAATACTTAGCTCTGGTTAGTGGATTTAAAACATAACAATGTTTTAAAACACTGTCCACATTAAATATCCAAGTTTTCGAAATGCTAAGCTATTTCATTTGCTTTATAAACACCCTATGGATTGGAAAGGCATTATTATCAACATTTTACAAACAAGAAGGATAAGGCCCAAAGCCAAACAACTATCAACAGCCATTTAGGACTAGAAGCCGCGTCTTGAGCTCTATAGTGAAGGCACTCCACAATACCATGAGGTTTGTCATCTAAGTACTTTCTCCTTTAGCCCGCCTGCCTTCAGTGACATACATTCCTGAGATTTTTGTCTTGGTTGTGGCTCCCATTTCAGTAAAATCTAATATAAAAAATTCTGAAGTTCATTACAGAACAGTAGCTAATTGTGTGCATTACAAAGAACTTCACATTGGGGGAAAAAAACACTGCAGATTTCAATATCATTTTTCTCTTTCAATAAAAGTATGACAACTCAGAAAAATGTGATACATCTACAGCTTTCCAGGAATATGTTCATCTTATAAACTTAAATATACAAATAAATAATATTTCCATATTATCTCAATGGATTCATATAAAAGCGCTGCAAACAAGCAACTTTAAGGATAAGAAATCTAAAGTCAGAAGATTCAGTGACTTGTACAAAGTCTCACTTATAGTAAATGCCTAAGCTAGAACTATGAGCTGCTAGAGTTTTCTGACCAATAAAAGGCCAGAATACAAGCCTGACTCCACTATTAACATATAGTCAATAGTTCCTTGAGAAAATGAGGTATTACAGTTGGCCCCCTACATCTGTGGGTTCCATATTCGTGGAGTCAACCAATCACAGACTGAAAATATTTTCAAAATCAGCTGGGAATGGTGGCTCATGCCTGTAATCCCCAAACTTTGGGAGGCTGAGGAAGGAGGATCCCTCAAGCCCAGGAATTTGAGACCAACCTAGGCAACATATGGAGACCCTGTCTTTACAAAAAACAAACAAACAAACAAACAAAAATTAGCTGGGCATGGCAGCACTTGCCTATAGTCCTGGGCAACAGAGTGAGACCCAGTTTCAAAAAAAGGAGGAAAAAAACTAGTAACAACTATTTACATAGTTTTTACATTATATTAGGTATAAGTAATCTAGAGATGCTTTAAAGCATACAAACGATGTGTGTAGGTTATATGCAAATACTATGCCATTTTATATAAGGGACTTGAGCGTGGCGGATTTTGTTATGGGGGATGGGACATGTCAGATACCAATTTCCTACAGATACTGAGGGAGAACTGTACTTGTCCCTACCTAACTTTACAACACGGTGTCTATCATGCCAAGCATTCTTCTAGACAAGGGAGATACAGTAATCATCAAGACAAAAATCCTGACCTAGTAGACTTTATACTTTAGTAGATGATATGAACAATACACAAACAAATATACAGTGTATCAGATGGATATAGTAGAAGGGGAATAAATATCAACAGCACAAAAGAATAGTGAATAATAAGAGAGTAAGGGAGGTAGAACCTACAGGGTGCTATTTTACATATGGTGGCCAGAAAACACCTCAGTGAGCTGACACTATGAAAGGAGACCAAAAAGAAATGTGGGAGCAAGCCATGGGGATTATCTAAAAAGAGTGTTCCAGAGAGAAAGAACAGAAGAATAGCAAGTTTGAGATGCTTCTGAAACATCCAAGTAGAAACATCAAGGACACAGTCAGAATTATGAATGTGGAGAGAGAGAGGTGTGTGAATATACTTTTTGGTTTTTACTTATTTATTTTCAATTGAAATGAACATTTATTGAGCCCATATTAAATGAGACACAGCTAAGAAATGCCCCTGCCCCATCATGCACAATTCACACCATCCAGCCTAGGATCAATGTCTTGCTGTTTCTCCTCAACCAGGTACATCCTACATTTTACCAGTTTTCTACCATTATGCAGTCTCCTATAGTGTAGTGACAGGCTTGTCTTAAAGCTCAGAATCTTCTTAGAAAGTGGTGGATAACAGTGATAGTCACAACTAACGAAGAATTTGCTTCAAACATGCACTGAGATGGACTCACTGCTTCCTGTGAAGCTGCTACACTTGCCTGTCACTCTACTCATGGGCTCTTTGGAATAAATGACATTCATAACACTCTTCACTCATGGCCAGGGGCAGTGGCTCCAGCCTGTAATCCCAGTACTTTAGGAGGCCAAGGTGGGCAGAACACTTGAGGTCAGGAGTTCAAGACCAGCTTGGCCAACATGGTTGAAACCCCATCTCTACTAAAAATACAAAAATTAGCCGGGCGTGGTGGCGCACATCTGTAATTTCAGCTACTCAGGAGGCTGGGGCAGGAGAATCATGTGAACCCAGGAGGCAGAGGTTGCAGTGAGCCAAGATCACGCCACTTTACTCCAACCTGGGCAACAGAGTGAGACACTATCTTAAAAAATAATAATCTTCACTCACATCATAATCATCACTCATAAGCACTCTTGTCTGAAATGAATTATAATCAGCTGTGGCATCGGCAGCTTCTGCCACAAAACTAGAGGTGGCTGATTCCACATCAGTAGAGAATTCCAAACCCTGCAAGTTCTATGGTTGACTCTAGGTCTGTGGTCAAGTCTAGGTTAATGGTTAAATCTTGGTCTGCAGTTAACTCTAGATCAGTGATCAATTCTAGTAGGTCAGTGCTTGATTCCGGGGGTAGTGGAGAGAAAGTCACAGCTGGGGCACAAAAAACAAAGAAAATCAGGACCTTCCTGAGCATGGTGCCTCCAGGGAGGGCAGAAGCATCTTGAGCTGTATATTTAAATACCATCTGGTACTTAAAGCTATGAGACTGAGATCACCAAGGAAGTGAAAAGAGAGAAAATGAAAGAACTAAGGACTGAGTCCTGGGGTCATATAACATTTAGAGATAGAAGATGAGAAGGAGCTTAGCAAGAAACTGAGAAAAAACAGCCAATGAGGGGAGAGGAGAAGAAATGTGTCCCAGAGTGAAGTGGAAAAAAAGTTTCAGGAAAAAAGTAATCAACTATGTCAAATTCTACTGCAGTTCAAGTAAGAGGGCTACTACTTGACTCTTAGATTTAGGAATGTGGATGTGGCAGATAATAGAAAAGAAACATATGCTCATCTCAGCAGCATATACAAAAATTGGAATGATACAGAGAGGATGAGCATGGCCCTTGCACAAGCATGACACGCGAACTTGTGAAGCCTTCCATATCTTAAAATAAATAAGGAACACAAATTTTTTGGCAGCAACTTCCATCAACAGGTGGAGTCTGTTTTCCCACAACTGAATCTGGGCTTGGCCGTATGAGCTGCTTTGTCAAAAGGACTTTAGCAAATGTGACACACGCACAGGCTTTCAAAGTGCTTGTGCACTGGGCTTCCTTTCTCTTTTGCTATTAGAATGCTTTCACCATCACGTTAATGAGTTTGCTAGAGATGAAATAAACAGCCACCGCCCCTGCTGAGTCAAACCAACCACCACACACAAGTGAGATCATCCTCTCCAGGAAGGCCACCCAGGCCAGCTCCAACCAAAACTGATCCATAGAAGTATGAGCAAATAAAATGGTTTCTGTACTAAGCCACTAAGTTTTGGGATGGTTTGTTATGAAGCAAAAGCTAAGTGATAAAGAGGAAGATGCCAGTAACAGAGAAGAGCTGTTTCAATGGAGTCATGGGCATAGGAATCTGACCGGAGTTGGTTAAGAATGAACGGATGGAAAGAACAGAACACAAGGCCTCCAGCTAATACTAGCTGAGCTTTAGAGGCTTTCCTTTCTAACAGGGCCATTTCCTCAACCAGAAAACTATACTGTTACACCGTTTTCCAGATACTTCCTACCCACTTCTACAGCTCGTATAAGCAGGCATAGTGGTATACTGGCAAAGTTCTACTTTCCTTGGGGTATCCCGCTATACCCAACCCAAGCACACCTGCTCATGGATGCAGACAGGATGGAGGGGTGAAAGAACTAATACTCTGCTGCTTCACCGCCATTAGGGTAAACCAATAAACTTGATGTTATATTTATACCACATGTCACTAGGGGTGTGTGTGTGGGGATGTGTGTATATGTGCAAAGATGTCTCCTTAGAGGGCACCTGTCTCTTGACAAGCCTTGACATGTTCATTACTTGTCATTTTGTAAGTAAACTCTCTAATCAGGAATTATAATCACATTTAAAAACATTTATAAAAATTTCAAAAATAACTTTTTTAAATGTCAAGAATATGTAAATAACTTACTTGGCAATCCGCAGTTTCCCAACTTCACCTCTTCCAGGGGCTTTAGCCCATTGTTGTGACAAATATTTAGGAACCTAAAACCAAGTAAAACACTAATAAGACTATTGTAGATGCTAACAGATCTATTCAAACATAAAATAATATACTGCTTCTATTTTTACTTTCTGCCTCTAATAAGGCATCATTATCAAGTTATCACTGTATGTTTTATGCTACCTGAAATACTAAAACATGTAAAAAATGATTTTAGCTCTCAAAGAGCTTAAATATAATCTCGGTGGTGACACAAAACTAACATAGGTCAAATAACCTAACAGTAATAAAGCACTAACTTACCTTCCCAAATAAGTTCAATTAAAGGTCACAGAAGAGAAAGGCTATCAAAAAAAGCGTCTCAGAAAAGAACAGCACTGACTACAGTAATAGCATTATTTAGAAACACCACTGGGCTTAAGATGATTTCAAAAGTCAAGTTTTATTATGTGGAAAATTGTAACATTAACTACTGTGAAGAAGCTGCTGCTAATATAAAAGGAATATTAAACAGCATAGCTAACATTTATATAATCCTGCCTTCCTGACACTGTTGTAAGCACTTTATACAGATTAACACATTTAGTCCTCACATCTCTATAGAATAGGCACTATTACCCCCATTTTACAGACGATGAATCTGAAGCACCCAGGGACTACACAATTTACTCAAGGTTATATAAAGATGGAGCCAGGACTCAAACCCACGCAGTCTGCCTTCAGGATCTGTGTTCTTAACCAATATACTATATTGCATCTGTAACTGAAGTACATGCAATCCCAAGGACTTTAATGCTCAAAAAGGAGAGTGGATGATATACGCTGAATCTCTATTATACACCTTATCTCACTTCTTCTATAAAGCAATTTGGACTCTGGAATCAGTCCACACCTTGAAAGCTATCCTATTATTAGGAGTGAGATACACCAAGTATGAAGCATAATGCCTTACACAAAGCCAAATACTCAATAAGTGTCAGATGTCATTATTTTTCATGATAAATTTGGAATAATCCAGCTGCCAAAGCTGACACGAAAACTAATTCTACCTAGCAACTACTTCATGTGCAAAAAAAAAAATCACTTGACCACTAGTCAAATAAATTGCAGTACGTTGGTACAGCAAAAATTCAGGAATAGTAAGGTAAAAAGAAGCCCCTGACGGTATTTATTCAATTACGTATGTACTCTTCACACTAAAAGTTACTGAACAGGGCCAGGCATGGTGGCTCACACCTGTAATCCCAGCACTTTGGGAGGCCAAGGCAGGTGGATCATGAGTTCAACAGTTTGACACCAGGCTGGCTAACATGGTGAAACCCCCATCTCTACTAAGAATACAAAAATTAGCTGGGCGTGGTGGCGCATGCCTGTAATCCCAGCTCCTTGGGAGGCTGAGGCAGGAGAATTGCTTGAACCAGGGCGGCAGAGGTTGTGGTGACCCGAGATCGCACCACTGCACTCCAGCCTGGGCAATGGGGTAAGGCTCCATCTGGAGAAAAAAAAGTTACTGAACAACTATTCAATATTATAGGTTCACTGGGCACGGTGGCTCGCTCCTGTAATCTCAGCACTTTAGGAGGCCAATGTGGGCAGATCACTTGAGGTCAGGAGTTCGAGATCAGCCTGGCCATCGTGGCAAAACCCCGTCTCTACTAAAAATACAAAAATTAGACGGGCGCAGTGGCGCAGGCCTGTGGGCCCAGCTACTTGGAAGGCTGAGGCACAAGAATCGCTTGAACCCAGGAGGTGGAGGTTGCAGTGAGCTAAGATCACACTACTGCACTCCAGCCTGGGTGACAGAGAGACTGTCTTAAAAAAAAAAAAAAAAGAGTTAGACAATATACTACAGTCAGTTAGGTACTATGCTAAACATCCATTATCCCATTTCATCCTTCCAGTCACCCTGCCAAATCGCAATCATTCTCCTCATCCTACAGATGAGAAAACTAAGGTTCAAAGGGTTGAAATAACTCAGGTAGCGAGGATCAGATTCAAGACTCAATACCAGACTGGTCTTTTGTCCTCTTCACTAGACGATACTACCTCCCACAAGGGTCTATGTGCTAAAGAAGACTATGTAACAGATCTAAGGAAAAGAGGATTTTGAAGACTCCACATCTTAACAAATTTCCATCACACTATACTCCATCCAAACAAGCTTAGAGGATTTGGCAAACTCCTTAGGATAACTGTATCTACCCATTCGGTCTCCTTTGATTACAGCTGACAGAAAACCCACTTAAAGAGGATTAATGTGCCAAATAACAAAAAATTCCAGAGGTAGCTTAAAGGTGGTTTCATTAAGGGCTCAAATGAGGTCCCCAGGACTCTTTCACTATTTCTTATCTATCTCTCCCCCATGTTAACTCAGTTATTTGGCAGACCCTCACCTTAGGAGGCAAAATGGCAGAGGCAGCTTCTGAAGAGCACAAGTCTCCTTCACAGAAGTCCCCAGCAAAAATCTGTCTTTCATGAAGCTGACGAGGGTGTGTGCCCTTCCCTGGACCTATTGCTGTGCCCAGAGATGAGATACCTCACTGGCCAGCCTGAGTCAATGACATCTTTGAGGAAGAGTAGTAAACACCAATAAAATCACACAGATTGAAAAGGGGAAGCAGTGGTTTCCACAAGCACAATCAAGATTCTACAACAATATCAAAGTAAATGGATACTGGTTAAAGAAGCAAATGCCCACAACACTAACTGTGAGATACGCTAGGAACTTCTCATTATCAACAACAGCATCCCTTTCATAATCTGTATTTCAAGCAACCATTCTGAGCACCATCTCCTAAATTCCTAGCTCTCTCCTTAGTACTTTGGCTCCCAACAATTCTTCTAACCCTTCAATTT